GGCAAGCCCATGCCAGATGAGCCAGCTCCAGTGCCCACAGTGCTCAAATATTAATCTGGTAGCAACAGGGTCCGGTTTCCTCATCTGTACGCTGTGCTAATAAAAACAGGAACCACATGAAAGATAAATTGGTCTGTGACTGTCTTGCTTTGTGAAAGCTCCCCTGGGCCTGAAGAACGGCTGTTACTCAGGTTGTGAATCCGCTTCCTCCTTTTCTTTCTCTAAAGGACCGCTCTTGCTAGCAGTAGCAAATGATTACATTAATTATCTGTAAGGTCAGAGACGCAATGAAATGCTACCCCTTCCTACATCTGGACCACAAAGTCCCATTCTCCTCCTCCCTTATTGGGAGATATCACAGGCAGATCCAAATTTTCAAGGAGAGAAAGGGCCTAAAAGCTCAAGTTCCTCCTTCTGCCAGCGCAGGAGCTTCTCACCGGTCCTCAGCTATGCAGTGTGCTGAGCAAGCCTGGAGAATTCAGTACTGTAACTGCCACTGTAACTGCCACAACCTCCTGGCTATTTAACTATGAATTATTGGAGTTGATAATCTCTACAAATTCACTTGCTTGCTAACATGCACAGGCAGAGGAAACGTAGGTTTTAGTTAAGATTAAGGATTTTCGTTAAGTGTAACGTTTTCCTTGCTCAGCAGTTAGTTTCAGAACAGTTGCCCAGTCGTATTTATTGTTCTGAGAAACATGTTTGTGATGATGAACTTTGTACTTAGAATGGTCAAAGTATAAAATAACTTACGAATCATATGCCCACTCCACAGTAGGTTATTAATAATTGCTTAACTCACTAGAACTACTTAGTTCTGAGATACTAATTAATTCACTGCTGCTTATGCTGGCCAGCTTGACAATTTTGTATCTCTCAGTTTGACTAAAGAAAAAGATTTAAATCTGTTTCAGATGAGAAGTCTCAGAGAAGCAATGTTTGGGTGGCAATCACTCAGACTAATGGTCATTTATTTGAAAACAATTGTTTCCACTGTAGCTAAAATTATGAAAGTGAATCTTCCTGCCTAGCACTGTATAAACATTTTACAAAATGTACATTTTGGGACAGATTTGAGTCCAGCTGTGCGCCTTTTATCTTTACATTTTTAGGTTGCTCTCCGCCTCCACTCTCCCCATACAGCCACAGTTAGCTGGAAGCCAGAATTTCTTCTGCAAACGCCCGAGCTCTAAGAACACAAACTTGTTTAAGCTGAGACCATATTTGGAAGAGATCTGGGTCAAGAAAAATAATCAAAGGAAAGTGCATTCCTTGAGGATCACGTGAGGAGGCCAGAACGCGCACACAGGGCCCGGCGCTCACGCTCAGATAAAAGGAAGGGGCCACGCATGACCTTCACGAGTAACTCGCTGTGAGTAGGCTTGTGGCAAGGGCTGGTTTTACACCAATGTTCACGCCGAGAACCACCTCACCAGCCTCTTTAGGCAAATTTAGAAAAGGCTCTCTTAATAGAGGTGTTCAGCAACACACCACTGATAGCAGTATGTGTCCATGGCAGAAAATCAAAAACTAATTCTGGCAAGCTATGCAGGCTCCATTCTCACAGACAGACCTACCTGTCTCTCTAACCCTGTCACTAGTGTCACTGAAGTAACTGCTGTTTCTTACGAATGTAAACATATCTGAAGGACTGAAATACGAGTGTGCTCTTTCTCCCCGAGACTTCTTCTTATTTTAGGAAGATCCCAAATCTAGCCTTTGATGTTTGTTTTACATTCAGCTATTACAATTGCAGAATTTTAGCAAAGCTTTGCTTAAAAATCTTTACTTTTTTGTCTTCCACTTTGAAGCTCCTACAGATGGCACTTTGAGCTGCAGAATCTTTTATTCAATTAGCAGCTAAATGCACACTAAATAGACTGCACTGCTTTAATTGTACAAATAAAATCTCAAGCAGCCAGGACACGGAACAGCTACAGAACATGCGGGGCTGTGATCTACACTCATTACATTTTGATTACAACTTTTACAGCATAAAGACTAACACGTTAAAGTAGGCCTGCAGCTGCCTATTTAACGAAACAAAGGGTCACAACGATGTGCAATATAGTTAGGGTAGTATAAAATTCTGAACTATTGTTGCATACATTTTTCATCTGGCTGTGAATTTCCTGCCCCCAGAACCCTGGATTTAGTCCTCCTCTCCCATTTTCTTGGCTAGGGCACAAAGCAAAGCCTCTGCCCATTTGCCCACTCAGGTGCATACAGAGTGGCTTGACGTGCTGCACCAACGCTCACACACAAACACTACCACAGCGACAGACAGGATGTCCTTACTGACCCTTCACAATATGGTGAGGAATATTGCTGTTTGAATCTTTGGTGGGTCGCTTGCACGGAGAACGAGGGAGCAAGCAGGGCTGTGATCAAGAGCCTTGCTCTCTCCTTCCCCTAACCTCTAACTGATGCAGACCTGCTGGGGCTAGGACCTCAAGCTGTGGTGGAGGTTGCCATGGAAAATGGTGGCACAGGGCCCCCCTTCTCTGCCTCCAGCCACTCCCAGTGTCCACCATCTCTTCCAGATTCACAGACCTTCATCTACACAGCAGTTCCCTCCTGCTTCACTGCCACCTAAAAGTGCCAGTATCCTGTTCCCCAAGAACAGCTACACCCCCAGAGTATCACCCCCCACCACCATTGCATGATGACAACAATGCATTAATGCGACATGCAAGTAAAAACTCATTTGTGATCCAGTATCAAATACTTGTATCACTTATCCACCCAAAGTACCACTGTTTACTCAAGCACTGAAAGCATAAGGCAACCTAGAAAGCTGGTAGAGTATCACCTTGGGCAGAAAACAGATCAAGGTCTGCTTATGTGTATTTTGAAAAAAAAAGTAATTAGAAATACAGCATCCCTGTGCTCTTCCAACAACTGGTGACAGGAATCTGTCCAGTGCAGATTCCCTGGAAAGCAGCCAAACTATGACATTTATAAAGATATTCTCTATATCCATGGACACACTTGGAAAGAACTAAATATAACATTTTTCATTACTTAATTCTGTCTACTCCAAACTTTTATTCTCATCTTGTTTCCACTATTTTTCTCTTGTGTATTTGTTAATTTGAGAGTTTCTTCTCCTCTGGCTTACATGCATTTCGTTCCTGTTTTCATGTATCCAAACACCTTCACTGTGTGACTTTCTTAACTGAGTCTGAGCTGCATCTCATTGCATTTCAAGCAGAAAAACACAAGCACTAGTTACTGTACACATCACCCTACTCCAAAATGTATGAGGTTAACTGTCATAGGAAAAAAACGCAGAAGCAATGTAAGTGCAGAAAACAGATGAGCTATTCAGAAAGACAGTTTCTGAAAAATATACATTGAAATTATTTTTATTTTTGCTGGAATTTAAAAAACATAGGAATATTGACATTGCATTTAAAAACCCCAGGAAGTTAAAGATTATACATTGTTGCATCTCTGAAATCCAACAGTGCAGAGCTGGAAATCACAAAAATGGCTCTGTCATGCCTTTTTTAGGAGATACCAATATATATATGAACATTTTGAAACAAGATTTTTAAAGAAGTGTCAGGCTGTCCAAACTTGAAAGTGCTCTTCATTAAATACACCAAAATCTGTCACTCTTCTGGGGGGACACTGTCAAAAAGTTAGACAATTCAACAAACAAGTTGTATGAAACATATCAAAACCCAGTTCTTAATGGAAGGAAACCTGATGTATTTAAAGGGAACCATAAGTCTTTAGTTTGGGATTTCTGTTTTAAATTTTAAGAAGTGTTATTGCGTGTGCTGCTTCTCTTTGTTCTACTCAATGTATTAATATTGGCAAGTACTACATTACGGGTGTTCTTATCCTAAATGTATGCCGTTCAGTTGGTATAATCATTACTTTCCTTTCCTGTATTGCAAATAAGGTACACTGACGTTAGAGTAACAGACAGTTGTATGCAAACAGAAATAGCCATTTAAATTACCTGAAGTTTGGAAATAGAAGTTGTGAATGTATACAGCCATGATGCAGATTGTATGATTTGTCTTCACCAGGGTTAAAGCAGTATATACACAGCTGTTTTAAAATGACACAGTTCTTCTCAATGTGTCAGGTAAGAAAAGCTTTCTACAAAAGTCCTTTTGAAAGTCATCATCTTGAAAGTCTTGCAGCTGCTAGAATGAGACAATTCAAATTGCTACCTCTTAGGCTCCGGGTAAGTAGGGAGGAAATTTAAATGCTTAAGAGTATTAAGTGTCTGTCATGAATAGTAATGGTTATGGGGATGAGACCTCAAAAAGAAAGGTCTTGCCTGTCCCAGTAACTTATTGACTGCAATGATAGTCAATATTTGTGGAATTCACTCATAAATATCATTATTCATTTTTTCTTAAAGCGATGTCCTAACAGTAATAAAGACAACAACCCTGGGGGAAAAATCACATTAAATGTTTATATAAGAACGCTATAAAAAAGTGACAAAGTCATACTTCATTACAAAAGAGGTTTCTCTCTTTTTCTGATAATTTCTTCTTAAACTAAAGAGGCTTTCATTCTTATGTCTGAGAATGAGGGATAAAAAAATCAAATCCTAAAATTCTGATGTTTAGAAAAAAAACAGGAAAACTATTTTGATACTACAAAACATTTCACTTGACAAAAAACCCAAACAGTTACTGTATTACCTGGATGATACAGATGAAAGGGGACATGGAAAGAGTAAGATCTTAAAATTAGACCTCAAGAATTTCTGGATAAAATTCTCTACTCCGATCACTGCAAGACTCTCTGACCTTAGGGGGACATTTGTACAAGGAACGAATGTGTGTGGAACCAGCCAGAGAGATGCTAAGGATCAGGAGAAAATCCTGCCTTTATTTTGGTGCTTTATCATTTTTCCAGTATAAACTGATATGGCATGAACCATCCCCACCATATGAAGCAGGTACATTCTAACAATTTCCAAGACAAATCCCAACATTGTTTAATTTACTTAACAGTATAGTCTGTCAGAAAAATGAAAATCTGTTTTATTTTATATTCTTTATGATGAAAAGTATATAAACTGCACTTTTAAATTAAATCATGCTCCGCCAAAACTGGTCTGCTTTAAGACTGATAACTTTAGTGGAGAGAATTAAGTTGTTTCAGCAAGTATCAATTTTCTGTTAAAAAATGTCCGCAAGACAAAATAAAAAAATTCTTAATTTACAATAAGCAGTGTAAACAGCAAAAACAACAGAAGCCACAAAGTTTCACGCACCAGCCACTGGCAGACAGATAACTCCAAATACTCATAGAACTTTGTATCTTCCTTTGTTGGTTGGTTGGTAAGAATTTTGCTGCAAATAAAGGAGAGAATAACCACAGTTAAAAGTGAAAATGGATGAATGAACTGCAATAAAACCCCACTAACAATAAATTCACATTATGTGTAAATAAGCTGTTCCTTAGCAATTGCATTCCTTTGAAAAACATTTTTATGGGGAGGTCAACAATTTTGAAAAAGAAACAAAACTATCATTAATTGCTCAGCAGGACTACTGGAATTGACTGCTGATGTCAAAGGCTACTTAAGAGAAAAAGCCAAAGACACTGTCAAGTCTAACGTAGTATCACTGAAGGTTTATTCTACAGAAAGCCGAGGTTTCTTTAATCACAGAACTCAAAATACGTTTTCTCAAGATAGTATCTTATTTGAAAACAGACTATGTGAACACGGCTGATTATTAGCTGGGTATGCTATAAAGCTACAGCAAAACAAATCTCTCAACGCAGATAAAAGTATTAAAATGAGGGGAGTAATTCTCCTCTCCCCTGCCTGATGGTGCTGAAATTGGGAAATTTATTGGGACCTAACTTTTTAAGGGGTCTTCATTCAAAAAGCTCTGTTAATGTGTTATCTCCATCTGCTGGCTGGATAACAGCTGTATGTCTGGCTGATTGAACACAGCAATATATTTTCTAGGCTGTTCAATGAAACAGTGTTTTTGAGATCTATAGGTCCCAGTCCCTGATATTAATAAAAATGTATGCCAGAGTGTCAACATTTGTAGAAATCAATCTCATAAAGCATAAATTAAGGCATTTTCCCTCTGCATTCTGGATATTTCACTCACCAATCTGATGAGCTCCTCTTTTATAAGTCGTGTGATTTCTGCCTTTGCTTTCTGTACAGCCAGTTCATTGGCACCTGAAGACAAAAAAATATTACCATCTTAAACATTTTCTGTATGTGAAGCCTACGGAATAAACACTGCTGGTTATTTTCAGAAACTTTGTAAAACTTGCAGAATATCCCCAACTATTTGTTGAAGAACACTCTAGTATTGTACAGGCTGCCACAGCTAGACTGTGTTCTGTTTTAAGGAAGATACTTAAAACAGACAGACGTAAGTTACACTATTCAGAAACACCTAGGATTAGAGGTTTCTTTGAGAAAAACTCTATTCAACCATCATGAGACTTGCTAAGTTTTTGTTATACTACTTGATGTTAATTTCTTATACCTTTAACAGCCAAACCCCACACAATTCTATTTTCTTCCTTATTTCACACTGGCACAGACATCTTTGTGCCTATTCTGATCCCCACCCCACCCCCTTTTCTTTCCCTCTCCTCCAAGCTGATTCCATACATGTTTGCTGTTGTTCTGTGGCAGGTCAGTCTTCTGAGGAGAAGCATATCTGTGATCCCCATGGATCATTTGACAAAGCGTATTAAGATAAGTGAGTGTTTCTTAGTAATTACAAAGTAACTACAGTGGGTCTGTAACTGAGCATCCAAATGCTATGACTACAGAGATTCCATGTCCAATTACAAAACTAGACTTATATCTTTAATTGAAACATTTATAAAAAGAATACGTACTTTCTATAGCCAAATAAATCTTTCGTTCTCCTTCCTTGGGTTCTTTGCCGGGAGGGAAATAAGTTCCTCTGATTGTAATAGCAGCTTCAGAATATTCACTGATTCTCTGTAGCGCTTCTTTGGAGGTAACTTTCCATCTGGCAGTCTGCAAGGTAAAGGATATGGGAGGATCAACAAGGATAAAGGCATCACACAAAATGGCAATCCAAAGGTTAACTGACATTTTAGACAAACAACAAGAACACTGCACCATGAAAACTGGTCACAGCGTTCTACTTTACAAACGTAGACTGAAATTTTAGCCAGTTATTTTTATGCAAGTATATTTAAAAAAATCTGCCTCTTGTGTCAGCAAGATAAAGTTATGGAAGGAGAAAAGAGAATGGATGCATAGTACTATTGAAGCAAGAACTCTAAAGACTTTCCATTTTGCTACATTGAAAGTTTGAAACTTGTAATTTTATTCATGTGATTTTCTGAAGCAGTATCAAGTATTTTATTTAGCGTTTTTTGTACAGGAACAGACTTCAAGGGCAAACATATACTGTTAATGGCTGCAAGTACTTCCCTTTAACAAAATTAATGTTATTTATTTCTACACAGCTCATTGGTTAAAGATAAAAGTAAGTAAATCTTAAAATCTCCAAAAATAAAGCCTAAGGAATAAAGACTGCCAGTTGTTTTTCAGAACTCTGTAAAAATCTCTCCAATATCCTCAAAAATACTTCACTATGATAAATGCATCCCATTAATTTAGCCAATGAAATTACTAGAAAGTATACAGTAGGTCGTTGTAAGTTACTTGTAGATTGAGACAATTTTTTTGTTGTGGTGAGCTCTGGCATTCAAAGTCCGAGGACTTAGGACAAGACTGGAGAAGCTGGCGCTGCCTTGGTGTGAAGGCAAAGCTACTCCTGACGGGAAGAATAATCCCCTCCAGTCCCTGTTTGGTTTCTCAGTTCTAGCAGGCTGAGCAAACATGCCATGTATCCTACCTTAAACCACTGCTTTTCCAGAGGCCAACTTTGGAATCCAGCCTCTAAAGGCAAGCTGTATGTCCCTGGATCAAAACTTTTCCTGTTACATATTCTCTCTACAAGAGGTACCTTATCATCATTAATCTGACTCTCTGAAATAACTGCACACATAATCAGGAAGGCTACCCTATGCGTATCTTAACACACGGTGGTAGTGAATGGTTGTGCAGTACTTCTATAAAAATCAGCTTACACAGTCAGCTGTCATTCTTGCTTTAGGCAATCGTTTTATCTTACTTTATCTCTGTCATCTCAGATCTGCACTGTGTTCAGTATTATACGTGTATACGGTACAAGAGAGTCCCTCTCCTTTATAGAGATTTTCCAGGGACATAACGAGCCATAATGATGCCCACTGATGAACTGCCATATATACATATATACGTCAGAGAAGATGTTACAAAATATGGAAGAACAAAAAGAAGATCAAGAAAAGAGCTATTTTTTCTAGTGCAGCTCTAAAAAAAAATAAATCTAAAGATCTAAAATTTATTTATTTGCACACATATGCAGACAACAGAACAGTTACTTGTCTAGCCATTATGAGCAGGCAATGCTTTGTACCTATGCAAAGCATATCCTTAAAGGGTTAGAAGGATCCTTAGCAAAATTATAAAATCTAGAGCATGTTCTACGAATGAGAAACCGCTTAGGATAAGAATTAAGAGGATTTCTGAGAGGGATGGGTAACAAACTAACAACACAACTACTTGTAAAATACAGCAAACCTGGGCAGAACCTCAAAGATAAATACAAGGAATTTGTGCTTGATAGCGTGGAATATAAGTCCTCAAAATAACAGATGAGGTAGACTACAACAGCAATGAATGGCAAAAATATTCACGTAATTAAAAAAAAAAAGAAACAACGGTATCAGTCATAGTAGTATGGCCTTTGAAATAAAATGCCAGACAGTGTCAAAGATTTGGATATGAGAAAAGTCAGCGGCAGAGGGTGAAAAGATTTTTGTATGATAAGAAATGCTTCTTTTTCTGGTATTCTCTGGAATATGTCCAAAGCATTGTCTATAAGCTGAGAGGTAATCACAGATAATGTAGTAATTTCAATTAGGTATGATAAGTAATAGAGACAAAATATTTTATTGATATAATCATAGTCCAAGCTATGAAGATAGCCTTTGTTAAATAATGGTCATTTACACTTCATTATAGCAAAATGGTTACTTGCCTGTGGGAAGTCATTGATCTCTAATTCTTCTTCGTATCTCTTAAAGGATTCATTTTGTCCTCCATCCTGTTTCTCTTCCTCCTGCTTCTCTATGGGTACATAATTGAGCTTAGCATTGATTTTTTCAGCCAGTTGCTCTGCAATGGTCTTGGCAGATACAGTAGGCGCTTGAATCGTGCCTCCTCTCAGGATAGCATTTGTAGCCTGCTGCATCACATCCTGTAAAAAAATTAGGTCCATGGTGAGAACAAGATAGCCAAAAGAAGTCCTATATAAACCAACAAGGTTATTACAGCTTTCTATGTAATTGTCCACATAACAAATACATTTTCCAAGCTTCTCTTTCTTCCTTCCTCTCAGTAACTCCCCTCACACCTGTATAGAAGAGATCTTACTGGTCTTTTGTATCTTCAGCTCACAGTACCTTTGGACATTCCAGACCACATTAACCTAAATTTATATGGATTGTATATCACATGCTTCAGCAGAGAAAGATGTTCTGCAACTCTGCTAAAGCTGACAAAACCTAATCCTGTAATTTTATCAGTAATGAATTAACTCTTTGCCCAGACTGACAAAGCATTTCCAGTTCTGTATTAAATTTTATTATCATATTAGCTCAATTACAAATCCTACAACTTATAACCGAGTTAGCCCAGCACAAATGAGTTAAATAATGCAGTACATTAGTGTGCAGAAACACGAAAGAAAATGGTAGCCACGGAACAAAGAATTGAACAACTTCTATTAACAAAAAAAAAAAAAAAAAAAAAAGGAAAAAAAATGCTCTCTAAAGAGCCTGACCTTGAAGTGGAAGGGGACCAATACTTGTGCCTCTGCTCCAAGATTCTTCTGGGCGTTAATTCTCAAAGCCAATCTTTTAGCAATTTCCAATTTTTCTGCATTCCCAGCTGATGGTGTAGGAGCGTTTGATGTTCCTGGTGCTGCCATGTCTTTTACTCTTTTCTTTGAATTGAACATGCTTTCAATTTGTTCATCGATCTAAAGAAAGTAACAATTATTAGATCACTGCATTTACCATTAGATAATCGTACCATCCTAAAGAAAGAAAACACTAAGGTGCATTTAGTTTATATGCTTTTAAAGAAATTAATCTTGTATAAACGGTACAAGCCTGCCCAGAACTACAATTCAACAAAAGGAACAGATGTTCTAAAAATGAGGAAAAACTTTGAATATAGTGTTTACTTTCAAGGTCACGAAAAGGAGTCTAGCAAACATTAAGAAAGAAATCTAATAAGGATTTAGAAATAGAAGAGGCTACTATGAATTTATTTAAAACACTGCAAGTAAAAAAATGTTTGTAATTGAGGGCAACAATTCTATTTCATTTACGCAAGATTAATATTACAAAGAAAAGAATCTATGTGACATTTACATAACTACATATATTAAGTATAAAATACCAGTTAAGTCAGAAAGAAATTTTCAAGATGTTCATAGATCTTGAGCTTCGTAGCTACAGATCTTTTATATTGAAGAATACATACAGATCTAGTCATAGAATTTAACTAATTAAGTCAGTAGCGTAGGACATGGAGTAACAAAAATCCACATGTTCTGCAACATGTTATGCAACCTACTGGCGGGAAAAAAAATATTGGAAAACCTTAAGCAACTTAAATCTTATTTTCAGGTGCTTACATCAACTGCTGTATCTTCATCATCTGAATCTTGCAAGCCAAGAGCTGCTTTTTGGAGCTTCTTTCTTTCATTAGCCAAAGCCTGTTCTGTTTCATCAAACTTAAAACCTTTGCCAGAGAATCCACTGCTTTTTTTAATCAACTTTCCCTCCTGAAAACAAAAACATGTATTTTCATACTGAGAAGTTTAAAATTCCAATTCCAATAGTCATAAAATAACTATAAAATTATACAAATAATTTTGAAGTTATTTACTTAAAAACGCAAATCTTAGCACATTTAGAAAACTCTTCAAATTTAAAAACTGTATTTTACAATGAAGTGTAACAAAAAAGCTATGTTAATTCAGCAGATAGAAACAATACACTACTAGGATTTTCTGTAAGTATGTATTTTAAAGGCTTTTCAAATGTAGTAAAAAAAACCCTCCAGTTTTTATATCAGAAAAACTCCAAAGTCACTCTTCTCAGCATGAGCAAGATCTTCTGATGGCGAGAACTCTGGAAATAATAATACAAATTCTGTGAAAGAACTTCATTATATTTTACATGAATTTTGATAAAAGCCAAGGTGTCCCTTATACAGTAGGCATTTCTCTATCACATACTGGATGACAATATTTAAACTCTCAAGAACAGTCCCACAAATGACATTCAACATCCCAATCTTGAAAACACACATTTACCTAAGCATACATATGCATTCTCCATGAAGTCAGTGAGATGACTCGTGTATATATGCCGTACAACTGGACCCACGTGCATATGCATTAAACCCAGATCAAAGCCCACTACAGAAGAAAGAATTACTTACAGCCTTCTGTTGGTCTTTGAAGTCAGCCCAGAGCTTCTCCAAATCAGTAGGAATTGGATTCCCGGACAATTCCAAAGCCTTAATGATATCACCAGCATACCGTGCCTGATCCTCAGTAATGAATGTATATGCATACCCCTGGTCAAAATTAATTTAAAAGATAATAAAGAAAAATCTCTAAAGACATTTTATCTCTAAATTTATTGAAGCACCCTTGCACAGATGCTGTTGTTCTGGTCAATAAAAGTAACCATGATATTGATGCATAAACTTTTTTTAGTGGGAACACTAGACATTATATTGAATAATGGGATTTCCCAGGAAGCTGATACAGAGGTAATTAACCACAGACAGCAGAAACTGAAGTCTTTCCTTTCAATCTTGTCATGGTTAAAAGTTTGGAAAATAAAATCTTATAAATTTAGTAGGGCACATTTCCAACAGTGAAAAACACTCAAACTTTGGTATTAAAAGAACATTCATACGTCAGAAGAACATTTAAGTTCCAACTTTCATAGTGCTAAAATTCAGAATATATTTTACACACCATCACTCAAAAACCTTAGATGCACTCTAAAGGAAAATCCTCTTCCCATCAGTAACATTGGGTAGTTTACTCGCTCTGTACCTATCCCTTGGGAACACCTTGATCAAGCAATAAATAAGGAAAAATTTGCAGTAATAACCAAAACAGGTATGTGATTATACATACTTTATTGCCAGCTCGTCCAGTTCGGCCTGCTCGGTGCACATAATCTTCATAATGGTTGGGACAGCTGTAATTGACCACCAGCATCAATTGTTTTACATCTAAGCCCCTTGCTGCTACAGATGTGGCTACTAGAAGTTTACAAATTCCATTCTTGAAATCATTAATTATGCTGTCCCTGTCATACTGATCGATACCTGCAAGAAACCAGACAAAACAGTTAATTATAAAGCTCTGCTTTGAGCCAAAAGAATTTACACACAGGTCAAAACATCCTCCAACTTCAAACAACCAAAAGACTAAGCAAATAAAATTTCAGTACGTTTGCACTTTTACAGGCAAAATATATTAGCCAGAATAATAAATCTCTTAGTTTATTAACCAGAATACCAAAACTTTCATTTTTTCCACTACAAAGAGATGTTTTCCCATACCAAGATCCTCAAAAGTTTCTTTATGATTGTCTATTTGACTTCTTATATTCAATTGAGACCTCATCTAGAGGCTTTGTTCTCTAAAGGCAAAAGAAATCTCAGAATAACAAGAATATTTTTCCCTCTTTCATTGTTGCACTAAATGAACAATGGTTTTGTACTCACTGGTTACTGTATTTTGAAGAGCATTATACATAGAAAGTTTTAAAATACTCTGGGATGGACAATATTCTAAAGAGATTTCCTCCTCTTGCTACTAAACCACTTCTGTTATATTACTACTTGATGGCAGAAAAGTGAAACAGCTGTTATTATTGGGGAATCTCAAATAAAAATACCATATAATACTCCCCCAATGGCATTCACCACTCTACAGCAACAAGTAGTTAGTAATATTCCCGGAGAGGTGTTAACTTTCAGTAACAATCCCGTTGCACAGAGACAAGATTTGGCATCCGGTACCATCTCACAGGGAACAATAAAGAGTAATTACAGAAAACTATCATGTCTATTTCAAATTAAGAGACAAATCTCTTTCCCAATTATAAGGCAAAATCTGCTTAGGAAAAAAAATAATAACTGGTACTATACAGGAACTAAGCAACTTCTCTTTATAACTACTGAATACCAATATTATGGTTTGGAGTTGTTAATATAAATCCTTAAGATTGCAGATTACCTCCGTGAAGAGACAAGCAAGGATAAGAGGCTCTCATTAAATCTTTCAACAACCCATCAGCATGTTCTTGTTTATCTACAAATATGATAACCGATCCTTTCTCCTGATAGTGTCCCAGTAGCTCCAGTAACTTCAAAAACTTGTTCTCTTCTTCTATGACAATCTGGAAAAAGACATACAAAAGCAAAGTAGAAAGAGTATAAATTATATCTTAAGTCATTAAATACATTCAGGGTTCATAAAAATAAAAATCAGGAACAGGGATGGCTTTTTCAGGCTGTTTACACAGCTAGTGGCAAAACTGCTGTCCAGCTCAGTGGCATAAACCCGAGTTTTTTTTAAAAAAAAAAAAAAAAAAAAAAATGGGAGGGGGGGGAAGAAGTGATCACATTGCATTTGCAGATTAGGGTGTTAGTTTATTCTGAGTTCATGTTTAATAAGGCCACTAAAGTTCTGAAAACAAAACCTCTGTGGGTGTATCAGTTTATATTTGATATTGCTGGAAATAATCTTTTGCAAGCGAGAAGATAAGAGAGGCAGGTATGTGATACTCACAACATGCTGCTCCACATCAGAACAGACAACACTTCTGCCTCCGACCTGCACTTCTATAGGTTTACTTAGGATTCTCCGAGCTAGTGCCTCCATAGCTCTGGGAAAAGTAGCAGAGAACATGACAGTCTGACGATCAGGCCTGACGTTGTCTACAATGCGCATAACCTGGTTTAAGAGAACATTCCCTGTTAATACCCAAGTGCTATAACTGAACTTCATACACATACAGAGCCGTTGTCTTTAAAGTTAGCTGGTATCTGCCCTCCAGAGATTACAAAACCTTTCTGTACAGACTTCCTCTTGGGACACTGGTGCTGGCATTGGAACACAGGCAAAACTTGCTGGATTCAAAAGGAAGTTGAGTGGCAATATGCAACCCAACAACAGCCCAGCAGAGATCTTAAGACATGCAGCAGAAACCTTACAGCTCAAGAGACCAAATAAAGGAATTTTCTTTAGTTTTGGAAGACAATATAGCCTGATGACAACTGAAAGAGTCCTGGATGTCCACAGCCGCCAGCAAGTAATTTGTCACCAATATTTGCAACATTTTGTTCCTGTCTCCTGCACGACATTGCCAAGAGACATCAAAGACTTTACAAGCAGGCTACAACTACTACTATGACACCTGCATCAAGGGATTACATAGGGCTACAACATGGCCACAAGTATCCAAAACAAGTGCATTAAAAAAAAAAAAAAGTACATTAGAGAAAAATCTAAGCTATAAAAGAATTTATCAAAAATAAAGCATGTGAATATAATAGAAAAATTAAAGTTTAAACTGTTGTCCATATGTAGCACATCTTTTTGAACACTCACTGGCAGTGTAACAAAAATGTAGCATTGCAAAATCCTTTACGTGTAAAATAATGTCTTGTGGCAATATCACTCATGTCATTAATTACCTGAGGCTCAAAACCCATGTCAAACATTCTGTCTGCTTCATCAAGTACAACATACGTGACTCTACGGAGATTTGTCACTCGACCTGTGAAAGGAGAGGAAAAAGCACATGGGAAACAAAATCAAATGGAAATCTAGTTTCCCTCAGGAATAATTTTTTTTAACTGTTATATAGTCTCACTATCTTCTAACAAGGACATTAATTAATTTTTTAAAAAATTCACTAAATGTGAATTTTAATGTTCTCATTTTAATCACGTATACATTCTGGGAAATGTGTAAGTATGCACAAGGCCCTTTATTTTGTCAAACTCTTCTCTTGCATACCATCATAGGGCCAGAAGAACCTGTAAAATTCAGAAAACTGCCCTCGCCAAAACACATCATAAAACTAAGACTGAGATGAAGCAAGGAGCCACATCAGCCATTATCTGACAGCGCCACCTAGAAAAAAACATATTAGAGATTACAGCGCATGTGTGGAAGGCAAAGTCCAGTGCTAACTGTTGCAGCCTCATAAAAATTCCTTTTATACATATAATCTGTAATGCTTCCTTGGAGCTAGAAATAACTATTTGAGGATAATCATACTAATTCTAGTTAACTGCTAATAATATGCATGAAACAGAATAAGCAGTCTTTTCAAAATGTATATATAAAGATTAAAACCTACCCAGTAACACTACTACATTTAAAATTAAGAACCACCCCAAACTCTGGGACAGCTGGAAACAAAATAAGCAAGTTGTATATCTGTGAACATTTTTGAAATTACAATGGACAGGATAATTAGCACCCTTCCCAAACAAATAGCTAAGAGATTCCCTTTCATGAGAAGGACTCAACTCAGGGATTTAAGAGTCATATTCTCAAACGATACAAACATGTGAACACACTCAGTTCCAAACAACTGTGAAGTGACACTGGCAAACGCTCTCGGAATGGAACAGATTTTTCACATTTTCTACAACTATCACTCAGACTTGTGCCTATCAAACTACAGTAGAATTTGGTCCTTTCAGTTTCAGCAAATTGTAGCTGAATCCTCAAATTATTTTTTAGAGATTTAGCGCTGCATTTTTTTAAGCTATGGAATTCATACTTAAGGAACAAAATAGATATTTCTTAAAATCTACATATCTATTTAACATCTTAACACTTTCATCCCCAAATAATAACTTTGTAAAATTACTTGGGAACAGCATTAATGTACCTACCTTTGACGATTTAAGTCTTGGAAGCCCAGTTCTATATGTCTTGAAGGTACTTTTTCCACAGAAGTTAAATAATGTCAACAGTTTAGTAGAGGTTTTGATGTGGAATAATTTAATAATAAAACTTTATCTAATAAGCATGCAATGGTTACACTAGGACAAAACCTCTTAAAGCTGCAGTGGCTCAGTTTAATCAATCTGAGTATTTGATGTAAGGTCAGTTCTTTTACTTTTGAACAGTTATTTAGGGAGGGCTTCTTTGTTTGTTTTTTAAAACCAACAGATAAAGGCAGAGTAAGATGCTCTTACGTAAAAGTGGGTAACTGCTGAGCTACACTAGCAATAATAAAGGATCAATGGGCAGACAAAATAAGCAACTGTTATATAACCTTTATCTTAATTGAAGTTAAAAAATTTGGATCAGCACATTTTAAGTTTAACAATGATAAACATTCTCAGAAACTCTTCAAGAATGTAGTATTTCCTGTCCTCCCCAAAAAAGTCAAACCAATATATGATTAAACCTATTACTAGTGCTATATATTCTCAATAGCTAGATAGTGCAGCCTGAAGAGATATAAGAAAATTCCGTAAGACCATTTATCAAAATACATGATCTTTTGAATTTGTTAGAATTACATAACAAATATAAAATATTCTCCATAGGAAAAGGGTTTCTACTCACCATTGTTAGCTGCTAACATGTCAATCATACGTCCAGGTGTGCAAACAATAATTTCAGCACCTCTTTTGAGTTCAGCTATCTGATTTTTAAAACACAGCAAACAAACTATTAGAGTGGGTTTTTGCTTTGTGTTTTTTTTTCAACATGTATCACCTTGCAAAAAAAAACCCCAACCATACACTGTAATACAGCTGTTCTACTAACGTGAATTTTTTATGTAAAGATTTTACTTAGCAATTAAGTCTTTGGAAAACTTTGCTTTCCAAAAGAGTAGCCTCTGACAACCTAAGTTACTATCCCTTGAAGTAGTTATAATTGAGATATGACTTCTATACAGTTAAGGGTCTATAAGAAACGTCACATGTTATATCAGGGACAACTGATACTAAATAAACCATGTTCCATCACAGATGGTCACTCCTGTTGTTTCCATAAATGGGGGGCAGGGCAGAACCCCTTGAAATCAATCTCTAAATTACTCTAACATGCAATATTTGATAATGCAATAAACCAAAGTTAACATTTTCTCGCTTCTGTTATCTTGAGGGGAATTCCCATAAAAATACAGCTTCTCAATAACTTTCAAAGTATCACATCCCACTAATAGTTTAGTTACTGCCATGCTCAGTATATAATGTAAAAAGAAACAGAAACTTTTAAGGACCATACTTGAGAATTTTCAAGAAGATCAGTATGTTTAAGGTAAAGGTATGTGCAAACTCTTAAGCTTTTGCACTACTACCATTCATACAGAGAAAATCCATAATGAAGGCTGCAAATGTACTGGATTTATGGGAAAGAGAAAGGAACTAAATTCACTGCAAAAGTAAGATTAACTAATAAAGTTCAAGAGTTACTTAAGTAAGGTATGTCTTTTGCATACCTGTTCACTGATCCCTGTTCCTCCATAAACACAGACAACTCGAAGCCCAAGTGTCTTTGAGAATTTCTTACACTCCTTGGTAATCTGCAAAGCCAACTCACGAGTAGGTGTCATAATGACAGCTGAAAAACGAAGCGTTTTCATCATACATTGTAACATACAAGATGTTGTTATTTATACAATAAAAATGACTATTTTCTAATGATGTTTATGGCAATTAACTTGAAATTATATTTCAAGAAAAAGACAGTTAATACAGTATGAAGATGGGGTGGAAGTCTGGTCAAAGTTTCAAAATCAGAGGAGTAAGGTCTCCTTTCCAGATATAATGGACACGCGAGTGCTCTTGAAACAACACTAGATAGCACAGTGAGTACAAACAACATTAAATAGCACGGTGATCATTAACTAAACAAAAAAAAAGCTACCCATTAATGGACATTAGTAAGTAAGCATTCCTCCCTGTAACCAAGATAAGAACTGAAGACCCTTCTATAGAGTATGCTTGTGGTTTTATTTATTTAAATAGCAATTTTGAAAATAAAAGCTTTGTACCTATGGGACCTTCTCCTTCTTCTAACGCTCTCTGATCCATAATGTGTCTGAACATGGGCAACAGAAATGCAATAGTTTTTCCACTTCCTGTTTTAGCGATACCAATCAAATCACGTCCATTCATAATTGCTGGGATAGCTTGGGTTTGAATGGGAGTGGGCTTTTCATAGCCGTGTCTTAAAGAAAGGAAAAAAAAAGGTATTTTAAGAACAAAATGCGATTTGACAGATGTGAAATCACAAAATCATGCCAAAAAAATTCTGCACATTCATATTTACATACATGTATCAGTGCCATTTAAAAGAGCATGACACAAATGGCAGAAGGAATAGCTCATAACAATAGTTAAACACTGAGTGAGAAACACTCTGATGACTATATACGTAACATCTACAAACACGGACATGTTGCATTATGCAACAAAGAAAAAGGTTTTTCTCATATACGTATGACAGAACATAGTAAGCAAAATCAAACATGATATAGTTCATAAAGTGCTTGCTTACTTTTTGAGGGCAGTGAGAATCTTCATGGAAATACCACACTGTACCCAGGTTTTTATTGGTTTGGGGCAGCCTTTTCCCTTGACTGTAATTCCCTCCAACTCCAGCCTGTACACATTCACCTCTGAAATAGAGTTTGCATTACAACAGAGTCAAATTTGACATTTCTCTACTACTTCGATCAAAATATTCTTGATCTGTCCCTGAACATGAAATACTAATTTTATCACCATCAGAAAAACAGCTTTTAGCTTGTTACACATATATACAGGAGATAGGCGAAAAGGACTCAGGTAAATTTTTCAATCAAAGCCTCATATATAATTATATGAGGCTATCAATAACAGTGATTCGAGTGTTTTTCTATACCAAGTTGCATATCAAAATCCATCATTCTCTTCTTTACTAGTACCCAAGGTGTTCTGGTTGTATTTGCCTTACCTTCTTGAGTCATTTTAGCTAGTTCTGGTACTTCAACATAGAAGTTTTTCCTGAAAGGTTCATACTCTATCTTTCCATGATCCACTGGTTCTAGCAGCTTTCTCTGCTTGGTCTGATAGCCAGTCAGGGCAGTCTGAAGATCAACTTCCTCCTCTTCTGAGGAATACTGTATAGATCATAATTTGTGTGTAAATTAGTATAAATGGTATTCCAAGAGGCTGTTTTTTTCACAGAGAAACTTTACTCAGAAGCAAGAGTTACTCCTTACCCTATTAGACCAGATACTGAAAACCTGCTCTCAGTTTAAGAGTCCCAATTGTTCTTTCACCTATTTCTTTCATGTTTCTCCCAAACCTTAACTTTCACCACATTCTGCATCACTTTCATGACCTTATGAATACTAACTACCAGCCTCGTCATTCAGAAGTAATCACTGCCATATAACAGGAGCAGTAAGAGGTAACTACTAAGAAAAAAAATCCAGCCAGCACCCCACTGGTTTGTGTTCCACTGCAGTCACAGTTCTGACGGATGCACTCAATTCAGCTATAAACTAGTCGACTACTACTAACACTGGAACTGCAGCAACACAGAGCTTAGCATGACCCAGCTGAGCCACAGTGCTAGCCAGGTATCTAGTTTACGACTTGGGCAAGGCTGCCTCTCTAAGTCCTCGCCCCAGACAGACACATACCCATACCCTTAACAACTATTCAGGCCTACAACAGCACACACAACCACATTAAGTACTCAATATTCCTATCCTCCAGAAAGCATTTTTAGAAGTTGGGACACAGAAAAGTAATTCTGAGCAGTTCAGGTCCAATCACTGAGCAAGATGGCTCTATGAGAATCCCAGAGCACTGTTTCTGTTAAAATTCAATATTCAGGCTGATCTCCCACTGCTCAACATGCAAAAAATTGCACACTATGAAGACTACGGGGAGATCTACCAGTTCATTGAACCTACATCCAGAGAGGGCAGCTGGCATTTATCTACTTGTACTACCTCTTCCTACTAAAACACATTTGTTATTTACAGCCAGTGTAACAGAAAATGCTTATATATTTGGTTTAGGGTGCTGTCTACTAGAACACATGACTTGGCGTAGCATTTCGTAGTCCTAGGCAGAATCAAACTCCTTTCTACTGTTTCCTAAACTGTAAAATGAGAAGATCTACCTCTCATTTGTGCTAAAAGAGATGTCTCATTATGATTTACAAAGTGTTTACTTATATACCATAACTTATAGGTGTTTTGGAAATTAATATATTTATACTTACAAAGAAATTCAGCAACAACGTAACAGACAAACCCCCTTTTTTCAGATTAGATACATGCAACTGAACCTGAAGACTGAGCAGCTACGTATGTAAACACTCTATACTAGCTAGTGTGTCATTCACACATGGGATCACCAAGACTGCCTGCCCAATTTCAGTAACGTGAACTGAACACACACTACATGGGACCTACACCAGCCCGATCATATTAAGAACAAATACAAAGCCAGACAACCCGATGCACTCATTCCATTCTCATCGGTATAACACTGCCTCTGAACAATAAAGTTGCAAGGGCAATTTCAGAAAAAAAACAGTACAAGTAATAAGAAACTGTGCAAGATCAAAAATCTTGTGACCATAGTTCTGAGAATTAAGTGACTAAATGTTTATCTCCTAGGAGATGGAAAAATCCCAGGACTATCCTCGTTCTCATGCCTCTTACAAGAGGCACATTGCCTTTTCATAGTAGAAATACAAGGCGCTTCCATTACCTCCATTGCATCTTGGTCATTCTCCATGAGCTCCCCTTTCTTCTTTTCTGACTCTGCAGCTGCCTTTTTGGTTGTCACCACGGTTACTACCTTGGTAACAGTTGGTCCAGATTTCTACAAAAACAATTAAGAAAAATTATTGCACTATCATATAAAACAAAAAACATACTGTATAACATATACAGAATATTTGTACTTCTGAATGCATTATTCTGGTCTTTTGGTGGTGTTTTTTTTTTTTTCCCCACTTCCTTCAGTGAAATTTTATCAGAATAAAACAGCTTGATAAAAACACCAGGAAATTAAAGTTAAGGCAAACAGGCATTAAGTGCATCTAACTTAGTTCTTGCTTTTTTGCACATTTCCCTCTTTTTTTCAAAGGCATTTTGATATTAAAACACAAAGCTATTTTTAAAAGACAAAGATAAGAAATCTTAAGTGATTTTACCTTCTCACTCCCACCTCCACCTTTCACACTCCTCATATTGAACTTCTTGACCTCTTCTTTTACTTCTTCCATATAAGCATCCAAAGGATCTAATTCTTCATCTTCAACCTCATTGCCTTCTTTTTCTCCTTCTGCGGTTTCCTCTTCATCATCTAATATGAGCAAGAAAGATGGGAATAAAAG